AGTTGTCAAGGCTATATAATAAACAAGGATATCACATGACCATGACTGCTCTGCCAAGAGTAACCGACCATGATGATGATGAGCATAAATTCTCTCTAGAATTGTTTAAGACGATACGGTCATCTTCTTTTGCGGGTATCATCGCAAAATTCGTCACTAGGGCAGAGCTCATTTATACTACCAGAGCGGACAATCACAGTAAGTTTCCAGAGAAATTTACTGTCACGTACTTACTGTCTTGCTCTGGAACGAACTCCCCTTGTAGCGTTTCATGAGCCCCATTAGTTCTTCTTTCAACGATATTTGGAAATTGACTTAAGCGGTACACTTTACTAATAAATCACCATTACGTAACATTATTTATCACAGTTATGATGATTAATTAATAGAAAAATTATTAAATTACATGCCAAAAGTATATATAAAAATAAAATATATCGAGTTAACTGCAAACGATAGCTAGCTCAAAAGAATCGATACTGAAGATAGACAGATATCGATTTTTCGGGTCACATTTCTAAGCAAATCATTTTCTGAACTAATTATCAAACTGTCAATTTTTAGATATGAAAAATGAGGAAAAATGGAACTACTACTGAACAGTATTTGATTTCTTGGGGGCACGTTTACAGGATGCTTAAAATCGTGAAATCGGAAATTTGATAATATGTCTAAGCCGTTTGTTTGTTTAATTGACATGATTGTCCTGATTTCTATAAGTACCCTATACGTGATACGGCTTAACTACCTACTACTAGACTTCCGTCGCCTCTACTCTGTAAAAATATAATCTCCATTATTTCTCTGGTTTGTTTAACTAAAGCACCATAATGTGTGATCCAAAAAATTAGAACGTTGAAAGATCAATACGATGTTATTATTTTTTCTAAAAACTTCATAATATACGCGATTAGCGATTCACAATTTGTAGCTTCTTGGCAATGTATTTAAAATCTTTTAGTGCATTTAAAATTATCACCCGTCTCGTCTGTCAGTGTTGAATATTAAAAACAAAATGTCGCCTATGACACCTTCAATGAAACTGCAAAAAAATATTTCTATACAAGTAAACGTTCTTGAAATTGGGATATACGTAGCATTCTATGCATAAAATGTATTGTCATTTCGTATTCAAGTTGCATTTGTTCATTTTGGAAAGTCGCCAGTGTCGCTGAAAATGAAACTAGATTTTATGAAATCTTCCTGTCTTTTTCGCGGCACTGTGTACCTAATCTAAAATTGGTTCAAGATTTTGACTGTGGGGAAACTGACGTTGTTATTTTATTTTTTCCTGTGCCTTCGTGCACGCTAATCTATGCAATCGTGATTTTAAAAGCTTTAGAGTCGCAGATTGTTCAAATAAAATTATGCAGACACACCTTTGCTTGGTTTTGCTTTTGTTTTTGCCAATCTCCTGTGGAAATAGTACAGTTTATGTATATCCACATATTGTAAAATAATTACATGCGTTATTACCGGCTACAATTAACAAAACAAATCGAGCTATTAAAAGTGAAACAGAATAAATTTAATTTTCTTTTCTTCATAAAACAACAACTTACTTATTCATTCATTCATTACATTCACTTTATATAAAAGAACAGAAAACATGAAAATTAACGGATTGTGAAACATTCGCTNTTTATGTATATCCACATATTGTAAAATAATTACATGCGTTATTACCGGCTACAATTAACAAAACAAATCGAGCTATTAAAAGTGAAACAGAATAAATTTAATTTTCTTTTCTTCATAAAACAACAACTTACTTATTCATTCATTCATTACATTCACTTTATATAAAAGAACAGAAAACATGAAAATTAACGGATTGTGAAACATTCGCTAGACGTTTCAAATTAATTTTTGATCTTTTCAACACAGTAGGACTCAAGAGCGTTACTAGTTTCATGAAATTCGTAGCACTTTTGTGGATTAAATATTGCCACTATGGAAGATTAATAGCCGCTTTCCACTCCAGCAAAATGGACCCAGGTAGATAATAAAAATGTCTAGGATTTATGATCGTGACACGGCTGTGCGTCAATGGCGGCTGTATATATCATTTTTAAAATACATTTAATGATCTATATCGGTTTGAAATTTTGATAAATTGATAAAATGAATGTATTTGTATGTGTGTGTTTCAAGTTATTCGACCTTTTCATTGGATTTGTAGTTTTGTTTTATTTATTAGGATTTTTGTTGTATTCTTTTTGAATTTTAATGTTTGATAGCGTAGTGCTCATTCTCATTAACATGGAATAAGGATTGCATTGTTTTATGTGTGCTAATATAGACTGTAATAATGACTGAACGGAATCAAAATAGTATACGTGCATATACGAGTATGTACAGTGAGCTGCAGAATTGGTTGGAATTCTGTAAGCCTATGAGGTTTTTTTTTTGTGATTGAACGATTACTGGTGGCCCGGAGGCCTTTCCAGTTTCACCAGGTTAGGTTGCACGTCGCACTCGACGAAAGTTCGACGAGTACGGTTTACCGGGGTCCCTTAGCCTGCTCCTAGTTTTAAAGTTGAAGGCATCTAATATAGGACGTGTCATAAGGACGACGGTGACTGGCTCCTGCGTGATCAGGATTCGGGGAGCAGTCAGCGGCGGCAACGATAAGACGATTATCATGACGAGCCTTTTTTTGATTGCCCTTGTAGGCAGACGAGCATACGGCCCACCTGACGGTGAGTGGTTACCGTCTCCCATAGACTTCAGCAATGCCGGGGGCAGAGCCAAGCCGCTGCCTACCGCTTAATACTCTCCACAAGCCTCGTTTGAAGAAGGACATGTCATAGCGCTCGGGAAACACTGTGGAGGGGAGCTCATTCCATAGCCGGATGGTACGTGGCAAAAAAAAACCTCTGGAAACGCACTGTGGATGACCGCAGTGGCTCCAGGTAGTATGGATGAACTCTACTCCGGTGGCGGGCGGTGCGTTGGTAAAAACGAGATGCCGGTATCATCTCGAACAATTCCTCAGAGCACTCCCCATGGAACATACGGTACAAAATACAGAGGGAACCGAAGTCCCTCCGCAGACCCAGAGGTACCAAACGATCCATGAGAATGGGATTTTCGACAATCCGAACGGCCCTCCTCTGTATGGAGTCAAATGGAAGAAGCTGGTATTCGGGAGCCCCGGCCCAGAGATGGGAGCAGTACTCCACACGAGGCCGGACTTGTGCTTTATAAAGCAAAAGCCTTTGTCTAGGCGTGAAGTACCGCCTCGCTCTGTTGAGGACTCCCAGCATTTTGGACGCCAACTTGGCTTTGTCTTCCAAATGATTCCGAAACTGGACATCGCTGGAAATGTCGACCCCAAGTATCCCTATATTCTCGGAAGGTTGCAGGGATACTCCTTGGAATTGCGGCGCCATGACAAAGGGGTCCTTCTTCGCAGTGAACGCGCAAACTTGTGTCTTTAACGGGTTAAATTGAACCAAGTTCAATTCACCCCATTTGGAGACCCGCCCCAGAGAGTTCTTCACTTCAGACACAAGTTTTGATCGTCTTTCTTGCACTACGCTCCGAGAGAGACTCTGATGGCCGATATATCGCGCATCCCCCCAGCTGTCATCCGCATAGCAATGCATGCCATCAATAGACAGCATGTCATTGATATACAGTATGAAAAGCGTGGGGGAGAGCACCGAACCTTGTGGAACGCCAGCGTTAATGGTCATGGTATCAGAACAGTCACCGTCTACAACGACCGTGATGCTCCGTCCATCCAAAAAGCTTGCGATCCACTTGCAGAGACCCTCGGGGATTCCGTAAGATGGTAGCTTCGACAGAAGTGCCCTATGCCAGACCCTGTCGATGCCTATGAAGACTAAATATTTACAGTACCTAAGCAGCGGCTTGGTTATGCCCGTGATTTTGCTGATGTCAAAGAGCAACGGTAACTACTTACCATAAGATGGGCCATATCATCGTCTGCCTATAGTGATAATAAAATTTCTGGCCTCGTAGTGAGCTCGGATTTATTTGAGTAAAAATTGTCATTATATATTCGTCTTAGTTAAACGTTTTCATTTGTAAATAAAACAAAATGGCTGGATTCCACTCCTTCGATTAATTGATCATAGTAACACTCCTGCTTTGGCGAAGCATGTGTGCGTCACAAGCGATCGTCGACCTCGCGCGTCAATAGATTTTTGTCTACCTTATAATATTTGTATAAATATTTATAATAATATAAATAATATACAAAAATATTAATATTTGTTTAATATTGTGATGTTAGATTTAACTACAGTCTGTCTCTGCTTTCGGTAAAGATTCCCGTACACTGAATATTGATATACGCGTTTATGGGGGCTACACATGTCGTATAATGGTCAGGTGAGATGTGTGGGTATTGTATTTGATATTGTTGATAGGATTGTTTAAAAATTAATCGTTTCTCAGTTTGTTCATATAAGCCAGTAAAAAAGCGATTTATAATAATGGATAGCATATATACCATTCAAGCGAGAATATATTATGATTAGCTCGCGGCGGTAATGTCTGGGTCGGTGGTGACCATCTGTATGGGCTTTTAACACGCTCTATCAGGACTAGTAAAAATAATATTTGGTCAGGTAGAAAAATAACGTTATGCAATATTCCATAATAATAATACTACTACACCACCGAGTCGGTCATAATGAATGAACAATGGGAATACTGTGATGGGAGTTTGAGGTAGTCGAAGTAGCATAATCATCATCATCATCATCATCATCATCTGCGTATAGCAGTCCACTGCTGGACATATTCTCACTCATTTGATAAATCCCATCCGAAACGAACTATTAACTTGATTCCAGACACGATTAATAGAACAAAGTAGTATGTCCAAATAAACATTTATTATTGTTCATTCAGAGATATAGACCCGTATTTATTGAAACCGTGATGTTAAAATGTTATTTCTATTTTGTTACAGGTTTGCAAGATAAATCAGTTCACTCATAATCGTAAAACTGTCATTTTAACGTAAATAAATCGTTGCCTAGACTTTAGAACGGCGGGGATACCGGCAAGAACAATGAACGAAACAATTGTAAATTATACCGATTTGAACGTCAGCAATATATCGGAAAAAATTACAAATGCGACAGCGAACGGTGTTCCTCCTTTTCAAGCGAATAGTCACGAAAATATAATCGATAACAAATGGGTGCAAGCTATGTTCTGCGTTATTTACACCATCATATTCGTTTTGGGTCTTCTTGGAAATATATTAGTATGTTTTGTTGTCATCAGAAACAAGGCGATGCAGACGGTTACGAATCTTTTCATTAGTAATTTGGCTTTATCCGACATTTTGTTATGTATATTCGCGATTCCCTTTACTCCCCTTTACACGTTCCGAGGCACTTGGAGTTGGGGCTCTTTGTTATGTCACATTATGCCTTTCGCACAGGGATGCAGTGTATACATATCCACGTTGACGCTTATGTCGATAGCAATCGATAGATTCTTCGTCATTATATACCCTTTTAGGCCACGTATGAAAATCGAGACTTGCATTACGGTAATTATTATGATATGGACTTTCTCCATTACCGTTACGACGCCCTACGCTATTTTTATGACCTACTACGACTTCAAGTTCGGAAAATTTTGTGAGGAAACCTGGCCGTCGGAGAGACTGCGCCGCATATTTGGCTCGGTCACGTCGGTTATGCAATTCGTTCTACCGTTCATTGTGATAGCGGTCTGTTATATTTGCGTCAGCTTCAAATTGAACGATAGGGCTAAAGCGAAGGCTGCTAGCAAAAATTCGAGGAAAGAGGAACTCGATAAAAACAGGAAACGGAGAACGAACCAAATGCTGATCGCCATGGTAACGATTTTCGGGCTATCGTGGCTACCTTTGAACATAATCAACTTATGTAACGATTATTACATGTACGCGATACATCTGAAGTATTACTTTTTGATTTTTTTCGTCGCACATGTAATAGCCATGTCGTCGACCTGCTACAATCCTTTTATATACGCGTGGATGAACGAGAATTTTCGAAAGGAATTCAAGCAATTGATTCCGTGTATCGATTCTTCGGCGCAGACGAGAGGAAACATTCAGATGGAACAGCTCGGGGCTGGTCCCGAAAAGACTTTTAACGGGAACACAACGACTGACAGTTATTTAGGATCCAGCTCGCAAAGGGCGACATCGTTCAGACACAAAAGAAAGCCGAGTGCCGCGGCGGATGTCGAGAAAAGTGGCGTCGAACTGAATGAAGATTTATTGACAGTTGACGTGAAGCATTGTCACATTTCAACGAGCTACAATCTAAGGAGGGAATCAGTTAAATTGCGTCTCATCAACGAGGAGTCGTTCGACGGGACGCCGTCTCAAAGTCAATTCTAACAACTAATTGCCCGGGTGAGAATGATTTTCAAATTATGAACGCACTTATGTAGAACTGGAGTTTTACTAACGTTGTGTGTTTTCAGGTTCGACTCTGGAATCGTTCCCAGCTATGAAGCAACTAGAGTGTAAATAAGAAACCGTTAATTTTGGAACATTTTCTTTTTTTTGTAACTTTTAACTAAAATGCACATTTCGATGACTCCTTATGCGTATGAATTTATTATTAAAATTAGTATGTTGTTGTGCTAATAGTGTTTGTAGAGATTTCGGGAAACGTACGCACACTGCCACAAAATGAAACCTTCCCCAAAAATCTACGTATATCTTGCAGAAATTAAGAATCTTATTAAAATTACCCTTTTAACGTATTTTATAAACATGTAGCATATGTGGAACATTAATATAATTTTTGAGCTGTTTCTAATAATCGACTTCAGAGTATATAATATATTATACAAAAAAAAAATACTATTGGACACTTTATTAAAATCCAAAATCTTATGAATCTACTTTAAATTAGTTGTACGAATTGTTGTTAAGAGCGTTAAAACGTTGTTTTTAAAAATCAAATTTTAAATAGTTATTAAAGTTATTTAAGTCCCCAATTTTTAATGAACGTTGTCGTAAATAGTGTTTTTTGATTCTAACAGTGGTAGTTAATCCCTATGTATAGTTTTTAAAAGTATGTGTGTAGTTCTTATCTGTAGATGTGTATGCGATATATTAATGTGATAGATCAATCTTAATGGGTATCGTGCACTATTGCGAGAGAAAATGTAGTATAAATTTGTTAAGGTTTAGAAGTTTTGAAAATTAAATCAATTTTGAATGATAGCTTTTAGGACCTGCTATTTGAAAACGTAATTAGATTTAATTAAAAAACTTGGTAACTTTCATTTTTTATTCTCCGTTAATAGATTCTAAAATTTCAACAGCGTTCAATTTTATGTTCTAAAACAATGACACACAGTTTCTTTTTCTGCTCTGATATCGTGGTGTGTCAATCAATATCTTATATGTTTTGGGTTGTCGAGTTTGATTCAGTCGGGGTATCTTTAAAGTGTGGTGATTTTGATAATGTTGTATTAAAATTGCATCGGAAGGTAAAAGATAGATTTCATTGACGAGCTGACTGATGTCACTTCTGGTACAATTACTTTTGGAAGCGCCCCAAGCGGTATCGAAAAAGCGAGAGACTTTCTGTAACATAACGTTCAGTAAAGGCGTATATTTCAATTGTATTATGTTCATGGTTTTCTTAATGTTATTTTTTAATTTTGTTACTAAATGCCTCTCTGAAATTCTTTAGTGGGCGAGATCAAACCGCAAAAGTAGTTTTAATTATGTCTACGGCTCGCGGAAGAGGATGAGAATGCGCTTAATAATATGTTTAAGTGTATTTTGAGTTTGCCGTGTTATTTGAATTTAATTGTATAAAACATATAATTTTCTGTGAATATTATATGATTTTTCTTATAGAAGTCTGTGAATAAATCTAACCGCAGCAATCTTTTTCGAAAACTTTAACATTAATTCGAGTAATTAGTAGTGATATTAAATGACTAGTTGAATAGAAAAAATATCTTAAGCAATATTACGATTCAATGATTATAATATTACAACTAGATTTAATAATTTGGGATACCATTTGAATATTTCTAGAAATTAAAACCTCTTGAATTTTTTTCGTAAAACCAAATTTGGATTTTTTTTTTATTGCTTAGATGAGTGGACGAGCTCACAGCCCACCTGGTGTTAAGTGGTTACTGGAGCCCATAGACATCTACAACGTAAATGCGCCACCCACCTTGAGATATAAGTTCTAAGGTCTCAATTATAGTTACAACGGCTGCCCCACCCTTCAAACCGAAACGCATTACTGCTTCACGGCAGAAATAGGCAGGGTGGTGGTACCTACCCGTGCGGACTCACAAGAGGTCCTACCACCAGTTTTCTAAATTATTTATATTAATTAAGAATATTGTTGTATTAGATTATTATGATACTCCAAATTCTCATCAATATGTTGCTGTTATAATACTGTTTACGTAAATGCATATTTTGGAGAATTTATGCTCTCTACAATAATGTATAATTACGCCCATTTGAAATTCTATTAGCATTTGGTTGAAAACCGACAAGAAATATATCGCTCGATAATCGCGCGAACTTATACTCTAATAAAAATAAAAGTGGCTACAATTTACCTAAAAAAAAACTTTATATTGATAAAATAAACTACAAAAATTAACATTATTAACAATCGCGCGTCTTTGGACAAATAATAACTATGAGGTATAAGGATTGGTACCATGATAAATTCCCGCGAGTAAATAATCCACAATTAAACCGAAATCCGGGTTGGCTGTGCAAACTTGAACATTCAACTTCCACGTTTAATTACGACACTAATGTAAATACGCACAATGTAATTAATGCACAAATTAATATTTATATTTATATTGATATTTTAAGTATGAGTTGAGATGTTTAAAGTTTTTTGAATCAACATTAACTTTACAATTTACAGTAATAGTTATTAAGTATAGAATACAACTTAATTTCTAAATCAAATTAGGCTTTTATTCTATGAAAGTGTTATTCAAGTAACAAAAGACTATTTTAATTAAGTATAGCCAGAAATGCAGTACATCTTTATTTCTAAATCAAATTAGGCTTTTATTCTATAATATAATCAAGTAACAAAATACTATTTTAATAAACAAATTTTTTTGAAATACAATTGTCGAGTTTATAGATCTTTGACGTAGCAGAATTTTTCAAAGCTGAGAAATAACTTAATTTTCCATAACAACACAACCAATTCACTTAAGAATATTGGTATTAAATACTTAAATAAACGCACTTACAGCTTGTTATAGTGACGTCTTTAGGAAGACCGCCCATTGTATATTTATCTAAGTTTTATTTATTTATTATGAATGTACTTATTGGTTTTGACGTTGATGGTTCTTTGTGATAAAGAACATTCCATTCCACACAGGCGATGCCATGGCCTTCTCAATAAATAAATAAAAACTCTGATGTAGAGGTGATAAATATTAGAGATGTGCAAATTTTTTAATGAACGTTTTAGGACGTTATTATTTGTAATGTATTAAAATTTTTAAAGCAACCAATTGTAGGATAATTTTTGAAGTTTTGACCTTAAATTTACTTATCAGAATAAACACACGCACAAACTCAAAACATCTTCTCTATTCTGTTTTTAGTCTTTAAGTTTTGTTTTGATTTTTCAGTTTATTTTTTATAATTTTATTGTCTATCTTACAGGTTACCCGTGACAAACATTAGTGCGGGGACTATGTACCATATAACGTATTTATGATTATGATATCTTTTGGATAATAATAGAAATCGTTTTATTTCATAGACTTTGTACGGTTGTCTTTTCATTCGGTCTTGAAATTGAACGATAACAATCAGATTTTATATAACCTTTTAGTTGGAGATTTTATGTAAGAAAATGAGAATCAAGTTTAAAAAATATATTTTATGTATATAATTCGTAATATAAATCATTACGTCGATATTATTAGGAATTGATGTTCGTCATATTTATATTACTTAGTTAATTAACATTCCCGAACCCACTACCTCAATTTGACCTGCCTTCCTAAGAAGCCTTTAATGCATTATACACTTGAAGATTTACAATAAAAAATTTAAGATTTTAGATTTAATATAAGGTTAATGCATAAACTATAGTATTAGTTAGTAAGTTCACAAAATCTTATTTAATGAAGATGAAATTTTGGTGTTTTTTCAAGGTAAAATGTTTATCTAGTTGTTCCTTATTCTAAATAGTGTGTTAACTACATAAATGTGATATATTTTATTTATTTATTAATCCACATGAGAATTGATTTTTAACGAATAACTTTAAACTTAGAACTGATATGACTTCCAAATATGTCGACTGCATAGATAAATATTTTTGTTAAGTCTGAATCTATTCAATACACGAACGTAGCTTATGAAATTAAATAGCAAATTATTTTTGGGAAAACAAAAAATAAATGTCTTATGATCCGTTTATTTTTATTTTTACATTGTATTCCATTTCCCGTTATGGTATACTAACCAAATAATCTCTAATTTTGTTTACTATCTTAGTATTATTCTTTCTGGTTGTTCTCTCAATGCCAAGGATCGTGACTGTATGTCAATCTTCTCCACTCGGTCCGGTTCTGCGCCATATGTACCGCTCCCTGTATCTGGCCTCCAGTCATCTCCTTGAGTTGGTCCACCCATCTAGCTGGCGCTCTTCCTCTAGGGCGCTTCCCCTCCATTTGTCCGAGAATTATGAGTTTCTCCGGGCTTTGCAATGGGGATCGCATTATTTGCCCAAAGAAACTCCGGATCCTTTCCTGGCACGTAGTCAGCAGGCGCTTGGTGACCTTCAGCTCTTCGAGTAAGTATTATATTCTGATATTAAATTTTTCTCCTTGCTTTTTCACAGTCAATTGTACTGGTGTTGCATGTTTCATTTGATTCCGCTGTATCTGGGAGAATGTATAGTGAGCCTCGCATATATTCTTGGCATAGCAAATAGAGCAATTGATTGTTCCGAGCTATTGCACTCATAAATCGACTCACCTATATATTGAAACCTCAGGAATCCCAATGTCCTGTATGTAACCACATAATGACGATGCCGAGCAACTCTTACAATCCTAGCTCCCATGACATGAATTTGCTTAACACTAATTCTCATTCTGTCAATACTTTAGTGGGCTATTCCTTGAACAGTATCTATTATCTATAAACTTTTACTACACGAGTGTTTCGCAATGTGAGACATGACCGTTGTCATTGTCTTTTTGTTGTTGTTGATCGTAATCTCATATTTAAGTTTGCTGTTAATTTTCAAAGAAGTACCTATTAATGTGAGTTTCTGATCGGATCTTCTCAGTGGGTCACTATTCCGATGCGTTGGTAGATTCAGCGAAGCACTACTTTTGCTAGGGTAGATA